TATTTAGTACATGTCGTTTTGTAACTTTTAGAGAGTTAAATATTTTTGTTTCGTGATTTATTCTTATATCTCTACATATTTTTCCCAAATAGCTCTAATAAGTTCTGACACATGAAACACAACATTCTAACATAAGAAAATGGGGGAAATAATACAATTTTTTATTTTTATTTTTTTATTTTTTGTTCAATATTTACAATTATTTTTAATAGCCATCCAACCATGAAAATAAACACCAATTGTGACAAAAAACTAATTGTAAATAGCCGGTTGATAATATCAGCCTGTATATTTACGTCGGTTAATAACGTGGGCACTAAAAAACATGAAGCCAACACTGGAAATAAGTGCATGTGAGATGGAGAATGCAGCGCGACGCCGTCGAAATGTTATAAAATATTTTTATATTATTACTTACCTAAAGAATGAAATTTCATTACTATTGCGATCAAATCTGCTACTACAATCGTCAACGATACACTGTCCCATGATTGCATAAAGGAAAACAATATATTTAATAAAACAGTAACAATGTTGACACAGCGAATGTCTAACAGCGACTGAGAGCGCGAGGCTGGCAGGGCTGAGGTTTGGCTGACGGTTGGTTTCACCGGCTTGCCTCTACAGTTCAGTCTATTTTGTCTATGCTTTCAAATTCTACTTCTTCAAATTCCATTTTTCCTAGTCCTACAACTTCTAAAGCATCTCCTTCACAAGAAACAGTATTTCAAGATACTGTTCCAACTTCTAATATTTCAAATGAAAATCAAACTTTTAATACCAAAAATGTTCCTCCTAACTATAATGTAACGATATCCAACTCCAATAATATAACTGTAGTTTTAGGTGAAAAAAGGAGTGAGATATTTAACTTTATATGTATTGAAATAAAAATGTATATTAATCATTAATAATTTTTGTTGTAGTCTCCGTTGAGACATAAATTCATTTTATAATTAAACAGTGTTTTTTTATGATTTTTCATTAAAAATTTTTATTTTTGACTCGGGGGGCTGCGCCCCTCCGAACCCCTCCCCCCCTTGCTGCCCCAACACCACCACCCCATAACGACTCGCACTTGTGATAGAAAATAGTATGTGCAACTCGTTCGGAAAAGTTGTCATAGCGCCCACGTGGCGCTATTGGCAACTTTTCCTCACTCGTTACACAATGTACTACACTTTCCAAATAGTTTTCCAATTTTGACATTTTTATCTTTAGCCGATTTAAAGATAATTAAGGAAAACCATAACAACTTCAACACACTGTATCTCGAAAACAGGGTGTCTAAGAAACAAACTTTACATGAACTACCCCTTGTTATTTTTCCATGAGGAACTTGCACACAAGTTTTTTTAAACATGAATGTATAATTGTACTCAAAGATTCATGTTGTCAAATAATCATAGGTATTTAAAAAACAAAGAGAAACACCTCAAGAAAAGGAAATAGTGGTACGCAACAAACACTCCGTCACGATCGAATTCCAGATACCAACTGAATTGTGTATTGGTGGACAGCTTAGTACCTCGTGTTACGCGCCGCGCCATTGTTACATTGCTCGATATGACTTTTGTTTTGGATTTTAAATTTATTACAACCCTAATTATTTTTTAGAATCAAGCATAAAGAAATTCAAAAAAGTGATAAACATTGTAATTTATGGTATTTTATGCACGCAGTTATGACAATATTCCTTAATTTTAATAATTCTTTTCTCGGAAATGGTTGAGTTTAGGACCCCTGTCATATTAGGTTTTTTGTTTAGTTTAATGTATTCTATCGTCTGTTAAAATTAAAGCAGTTAAACTTCTAACACCCTGTAGATACTGTTACTTTTAAACCTTCATTTTAGATTTTTTACCTTTTTTAAGATTTTTTTAATATCCGTCATTGTACCATGACTATAAATAATCCATTTTTTAAATTTTAATTCTCTTATTTCTGTCTTTTTTAATAAAAGCTTTTATGTACGATCTTATCTGATTATTTCATTCTAGTTTTTAAGATTTCATGCTCTTGAAAATTTACTTTACTATTGTTACTGTCTTATTGCTGATATCAGTCAGAATTTGCAATGTTTAAATTAATGTTTTAGATATTCTTTCAATGATTTTAATATTTATCTGTTCGGGGAAGAACTTTTGATTTAATCGTATAGCTGTTTGAAATAATTATAAATACATACGTATAAAGTGATCCAAATATTAATGCCAAATAATAATTGGCCGTTACAGCCAATATGAGATATTGTCAGAGCCATTATCAATTTATTTAAAAGCACTTAACTAGAAAGTGAAATCTTATTGGATATCTAAATTAAAATATTAGATTTTAGTTAAAGTTAAATACTCGTATATTAAATTCACGTTCAGGAGAAAAGTTAAGTAAAAAGGTCCCCAACTATGCCACATTTTGAGATAAACGTTATAATTATACACCGTGTCCACCTAGTGCGCGTAAGTCCAATATCTAGGCTAATAAAAGATATAACTTAATTTTTTTTCTACAGAGTTGCCTACTTTCCTGAGCTGCACAAAATGAAAATATATTTGCATATTATACAGGGTGTTCAGTTCACGAAGTACCAGCTTAATTTTTTTTAATGGAAACCTATATTTTTTTATGGCATTATCGAATTCTACGTGAAAAATTAACGGGACTTTGTGTTATGATCCCTATTAAAATATTGATACCTAGTTTTTGAGATAATCGACTTTCATTTTTTTTTCTTGTTTCGTCACTTCTAGTAGTTGACATAATTATGATTGTATGACAGCTAGAAATTATTTTTTTTTCAGGAACTGTAGAGTGAAGATGGCTCTTTCAAAAAACGTATCAAAAGTTGACCTGCGATATACAGGGTGTATCTTAAGTGATGACTTTAATTTCAAGGGGTGATTCCTTGTCATATTTTAAGCAAAAAAGTACATATGAACATCGGTCCGCAAGTGCTTCGTTACCGAGATACAGGGTGTCAAAGTTGGGAAAATAAATCGCATTTTCTTAAATATCTTTCGACTGATTCGAAATAATTTAATGAAATTTCATACACGGGGGTTTTTTGGAATGACAAATTCAAAGCTGTGGTCAATTTAGGTGTATTTTTTTGAGGGCGCCACCGGCAACGATTTCGGCCTCTTTAATCCATCGCAACTTTTTTCTGCTACCCTGTATGCCATTTTGGACTAGAATAATCGATTCTCCTACCTTATCTGCTTAAAAAAGATTTTAAAGAAATGTTTTTTTGTTGAATACAAAAATTCCTGTGATAACAAAATTCCGATGATATTTGGCATTAAAAGTGACAAGATACTGTCAGTTGACTATCTTTTAGTGTGCAGTTAACTATGAATAACGTTGAACAAGCTCAAATACATTTCATTTATGGGCTAGCAGATGGAAATGCTGCACAAGCCCGTCGAATTTACCAGGAACGATTTCCCAATAGACCACTTCCATCAGAAAGAACTTTCATAAGGCTCCATGCTAGACTGTGCGAAACTGGATCTTTAAATGCTCACGCTGAACGTATTGGTAGACCGAGAACAATAATGACACCACAACTAGAAGAAGCAATCCTACAAGAAGTGGAAGCTAATCCGTCAAGTAGTACGCGAAGATTATCTGAACAGTTTAACATAAGTCATCAAAGTGTTTGGAGGGTTTTGCACACAAATTTACTTTATCCGTACCACATTCAACGCGTGCAACCACTGTTGCCAAGAGATTTTCCTGCACGGTTAGATTATTGTCGATGGTTTCTCCAAAAAACTGCGCAGAATCCCAACTTTACGTCTAAAATTCTGTTCACAGATGAGGCAACTTTTTCACGGGATGCCATCATAAACTTCCACAATAATCATTTTTGGAACTATGAAAATCCCCATGTTATTGGAGAACGTGGATTTCAGCAGCAGTTTTCGGTGAATGTGTGGGCCGGAGTTATTGGTGATCATGTCATCGGACCGCATTTTCTTCCTCCTCGACTGAATGGTGAGACTTACAGACAGTTTCTAGCTGAAACATTGCCTGGTCTGTTAGAAGATGTACTACTAGCAACCAGAAATGACATGTGGTTTATGCACGACGGGGCACCTGCTCATTTCAGTCTTGCTGCTCGCCAACATCTTAATGACACTTTTGCTCAGCAATGGATAGGTCGGGGAGGACCTCAGCCGTGGCCAGCACGATCTCCAGACCTAAATCCTCTGGACTATTTCTTTTGGGGACATCTGAAGTCGCTTGTTTATGCAACGCCAGTTGTAGATGAAAATGATTTAAGAAACAGAATTGTAAATTCTTGTAATGTCATACGCAACACTCCAGGAATTTTGGAACGTGTGCGACAGTTGATGAGCAGAATATTACATGCTTGTATTGACAGTGGCGGTTCTCATTTTGAGCATTTGATTTAATTCAATCTTTATGATATTTCCAGCTCAAGTAAGCTATTAAAAAATTGTAGGGTCTACAGAAAGGCATCTAATGAAATCATAAAACACAGGGTGTTCTACTTGAAAAAGAGTCGAGATTTTCAAATTTTAAATTATCAGGTTTGGCACGATTTTTTTGCCCCCTATATATCGCAGGTCAATCCATCTTCACTCTACAGTTCCTGAAAAAAATAATTTCTAGCTGTCATACAGTCATAATTATGTCAACTACTAGAAGTGACGAAACATAAGAAAAAAAATGGAAAGTCGATTATCTCGAAAACTATCAATATTTTAATAGGGATCATAACACAAAGTCCCGTTAATTTTTCACGTAGATTCGATAATGCCATAAAAATATAGGTTTCCATTAAAAAAAATTAAGTTGGTACCTGCCCAGAAAAAATTGAACACCCTGTATATGCAAATATATTTTCAATTTGTGCAGCTTGGGAAAGTAGGCAATTCTGTAGAAAAAAAATAAGTTATATGTTTTATTAACCTAGATATTGGACTTACGCGCACTAGGTGGACACGGTGTATAGGTATTTTTATTTTTTTCAGAAATAGCCTCTCAAAAAATTCTTCATTAGAATTGGTTGAACATAAAGGAAATAATTCAATTTTTAATAAGAACTCTACAAAACAAGAAGAGAAGCAAATAAGAAGTACATACTTAATTTTCTAAACCCTGGACAACTGTTCAATATTATTACATATATTTCAGGTCAGTAGTAAGTGAATATATGATACTGAATTCTTATTCTGGACATCAGCACCATACATGTCTTATATATAGTAAGCTAAGGGAACTGTGAAGATGTAGGAAGACACAAAGAACCAAAATCAAATTTAACACAAATTAAGAAGAAATTGTAAATTAAAGAATTTGACAGGATGTATGATTATGGCAATATATTACAATTTTAAACAAGTTGGGTTTAATTCTAAATTTAAATAAAGTAGGAGAAAATATGTAATTATTAAAAACGTCATAATCATTATGGTTGATAGTAAATATGATGAAATTTAAAAATGTGTTTCATTTCTCATTTTTAATAATAGTTAATTATTATACAAGGAAAATATGAAAGGTAGTTGCTACCCAGACACCGAGCGGTAAGGCCTTTTTTTTCACTGTTTATGGTAATCTAGTATTTTCCTGTGACAGTAGCTGCAAGAATGTAATAAATGGGGTAAAACATATTTTTTCCCTTATAAAATATAAAATTTTTTCACCTGATTTGTAAGTAAAAATTATTTTTCTCTATTATTATTTTTTATTATGCAAAAATTTTACTCTTCTACTTGTGAACCAATTTTAATTATTTAAACACTGTAAAATAGGCAATATCAACCTCTGTTCAGCCACTTGAAAATATATACAGGGTGCTGTTTGAAATTAGTCAGGGACGGCGCCCTTGGAAATTCATTTATTAACAACTAGCCTAGATAAGTGGGCTTCAATTTGAAACAATAAAGTTTATCTGTTCATTTTGCAAGTTTTTTAAATCAAAAGATACGTAAGTGGCGCAGGCTTATGTATTTCTTGAACATCGTTAAAGATAAACTGTAATTTTCACTTAATTCGTAGAGAATCTAGCAACTTCATTCAATTATTGTTTTTTAGGAGGTTTGGCTAATCTCACACTCGCATATGAAGATCGGAATTCAAATATTAATGTTTGTAATACAAAAAAGAATTTAAGTGTTGTAGGAAGAAAATAATATATTACCTAAATAATTTTTAACAAAAAACCTATACGTACTACAGACCTACTTCCTATACAGTTTTTAAGACATAATTTTGTAAGTAAGTAAAAAAAATCATAATTAAAAAAACATTTATTTCAGAAAACATTGGTATTGTAAAGACGTTTTTCAATAAAATACAAAACAACTTTATTTTTATTAAAAATATATATTTTAAAGTTTATTTTTAAATGGTGTTGTTTAATGATATGTGAATATTTAAGGGTGTGTTTCTACATGAAAAATTAATGATAGTTTGCTTTATGGTCCAAAAATGTTCCGCTGCGAAAATACGGGGTATTAAAATTTTAGAAAAAAGAAGGAAATGAATTAACATTTTCGAAAGCGCAAAGGCGAATGTTTTTCAATACAAACATAATTTTTAGCTCTAACAGTGACTTGCGTACGAGTAACGACTTTGATATTTTTAAATAAAAAATGGTACGCCAATGGTTTTTCCCAAAATTATTTTTGCAATTCCCGTTCAATTTGAAATATAAGAGCTCTCTTGAGGTTTAACCTGCGATGCGCTGTTTTTGAGTAAAAAAAACTTATTAATCATTTAATATCAAAAATTAAATACATTACAGGTTGGTACTTGCGTATAATAAACAACGACAATTAACAACATAGAACATCAACATAACATTACAACTAATACCAAACTATTATTACAAAAATTGTTGAAAATGGCCTCCTTCAATTATAATGTATGCTTCCGCCCTCCTTCTCATGGAATTGCGCACCCGTATTTTCGCAACAGAAAATTTTTGGACCATAATTTCTAAAACAAACTACCAGTAATAATTGTCCATGTAGAATCACACCCTTAAATGTTCGCACATCATTAAGGAACACCCTGTATATTTATTTTCCTTGCTTTGCTTCCATATGCTTTTACTTAAAAAGTAGTTTACATCTTAAATATATTTGCGTAATATCAAACATTTTTATTCTAATTAGAACGCTGTATTAACGCAACATTATTTAACATTAGCACAATTAACATATTTTATAACAGAGTTTGGATAGTCAGCACTTGCTACAGAAAACGGGAATTGTTCCATGCCATTACAGTAGGCACCAATGTTACCTTTTTTATCAGCTACTATTATGCCTCCAAAAAATGTAGGGTACTTATCTATAATTCGCGACAACGAGATTTTAGCTGCTTTTTCTGGAGAAGCTCCAAGTCGTAACTGCTCTACTGCCAGGAAACTAAAAAACCATTAATTAATTATGTATGTATATAAAAATATGCCAAATCGTTTAGTGATTATAAAGGTACGTATACATCTGCGCGCCGCTCAGCAAGTTTTCTAGATTAGTACCGGGTTTGAAGGTTCTTCAAAATGAATAGTTCAAGGGAACATTGGACGAGCAACGAACGCGCGGCGCGCACAACGCGCGTTTTGCGGGGCGCAGATGTAAACGCACCTTAAAAGGAATCACTAACGTTCTACAAAGTTGATTTAACATTTTGTTTTTTAATTTAAAATTATGATCCATACGTAATATTTTGAAAAAACTCTTCATTTATAACACCCATATACAAAGTAAATAATAAATGATTTTTTTTTTGTGATTTTATAAGAAAGAAAAACAAGGTAGGTAGTTTTTAATTTTCTTAATAAAAGTAGGTATACAGGGAAGTACGGAATAAAATTCATATCTTTTGAATGAGTTAATTTTTTTTTAAAACGCTGAAACACAACTGATTTTGATTTTTTTCCCATCTTTCGGTTATATAATAATTAAATTTTCTTCAACGCCCTAACCCCCAGCTACCCCTACTTTTTTTTCAAATGGAAACATAAGGCATGAGGGGGCTCGTTGAAAAGTTTATAGAAAACCGAATCCAGCCGTAGGTACCAAATAAACAAGTTTTATTTTTTCAATAGCAAGGTTTTTAGGGTTGTATAAAACGCCTACTTAACAAGTGAAATAAAATTTAATTATCTTCAGTGTTATCCTCCATGAGTAAAATAAAGAATTTGAAACTGTACCTATCACTGCTAACGCAAAAAAGATATATTTTTTATGTTGCGTTTTTTTGGCACCACTTACTTGCCAGGCTTTCTGGTTAATTTTTCGCTTTAGTTGTAAATTGGAGTTCGAAACGTTACTATTGTGTCAAAATCAAGTTATTTACTGAATTGCAATGGTATTGTCGGAAAGGCAACGCATCGAAATCTTGATATTGCTTGGATGTGGAGACAAAATAAGAAGTCAGGCTGAAGTGCGCGATTTATTTAATGCGAAATATCCCGAAAACCAAATCTCGCAAGGGACAGTTAGTAAAATATTTCACAAATTTGAGGAACACGGTACAGTACAGACTTTGCCCAAAACTGGACGGGCACGTGCTTTGAATGAAGAAAAGAAATTAGACATTGCATTAGAACTTGTTGAAAATCCTCATACTTCAACTGTTTCATTGGCCCGCAATCACGATGCTTCTCGAACTGCAATTCGAATGTTTCTGAAACAAGAGAAATACCACCCCTATAAGGTATGTCTTGTCCAAGAGCTTTTGGAAGACGATTATGATAGGCGATTACAATTTTGTGAGGAAATGATGAGACGGTGTGACGACAATAATGGTTTTCAACGAGACGTACTTTTTTCGGATGAAGCTACGTTTTATTTAAATGGAGTGGTTAACAGGCACAACTATCGCTTTTGGTCCCAGGAAAATCCACACTGGACATGCGAATCGCATACGCAGCATCCACAAAAAGTTAATGTATGGGCAGGTATCATCAACAATAGAATCTTGGGCCCATTCTTTTTTGAAGAAAATCTTACTGCAGCACGCCACCTGGATCTCCTAACATTTGACCTGATACCTGCTCTAGCTGTGATTTTGCCTCATGAAATTAATCCAGATATACCAAATTAAATAATTTGGTTCCAACAAGATGGCGCTCCTCCACATTTTCGTATTGATGTTCGAAGATACTTAGATGAAATGGTTCCAAATCGCTGTATTGGTAGACGGGGTACAGTTGAATGGCCGCCAAGATCCCCCGACTTAACACCCCTGTATTATTTTCTTTGGGGATATTTGAAAGAAAGAGTCTACCAGGACAGACCGGATAATATTGGGAATTTAAAGAACATGATTAGGGCGGAGATGCATAATTTACCAGCTGAAGTCATTCAGAATGCTGTGGAAAGCTTTTACTATCGTCTTGGAGAATGCCAAATAGTGAATGGAGGACATTTTCAGCATTTGCGACATTGAGTTTATTTTTACAAATTATCTAGTTCTTTCAATTTCTAAATGAAAAAAAACTTGTTATTGAAAAAATAAAACTTGTTTATTTGGTATGGCTTCTATAAGCATTTCAACGAGCCCCCTCATGCCTTATGTTTCCATTTGAAAAAAAAAGTAGGGGTAGCTGGGGGTTAGGGGGGTTGAAGAAAAATTAATTATTATATAACCGAAAGATGGGAAAAAGTCAAAATCAGTTAACGTGTTTCGGCGTTTTAAAAAAAATAACTCATTCAAAAGATATGAATTTTATTCCGTACTTCTGGCCATCCCTGTATACATAGGAACTTTAAGGAAATATAATAATATAACTGGTTCATATAAAAGATATATAAATAAATATTTATACAATAGTCATTTATGAGTTTCCTTTAAATTCTTAAAAATAAAAAATGTTATTTTATTATTCCTGCAGGAAAAAATGGGAAAAGTAATAAAATTATTTTTTACATTTTAACTTTTATTTCCCACCGTGTCCAGAGACCAGACCAATACTAGAAATTTGAAAATAGGAGTTTTGAAACAACATATATTCAAATATAGTAATCAGCTAACAAGTGAGAATATATCAGTTTCTAACAAACTGACAAAAAGGGAGTGAGATATACAAAATATGCCCAGACAGCATCTGGAGAAAGTTATAAACAAAAGTTTGCAAGCAAATATTAAACGCAACTTACTAACCATACAACGTAGAACGATTACAGGCATTGGAAAAAGAAAAAAAAACCTAAAAGTAAGTCAATTTAAGAGTCAAATAATGATGGTAAAGCCAGCATTAAAAACGAAGAGACAGTGATATTGGCCGTTTTCTTTTACTCATGATTTCAGAATCATAACGTGTTACGATCCGATGGAAACCAATCAGATTGCTAGATTTCGGATCGTAACGCGTTATGATTCCGAAATCATGAGTAAAAGAAACCAGTAATTGTCAATATAAGCACGATCGCAGCGCAACCAGTACCTGCAATCTAACAGAAACAAACAAGGACAAGATATGGTACAGAAAAGTAATATGTATATAAGAAATATCTAGGTATTTAAATAGCTAATTTTGCTTTAAAATAATATTATCGAGAATATTATTCATTAATTAAATGTGTGAAATTTTGATTAACTCATTGTATACCGGTTGACTACAGATTTTATTTAACTGTATTTGCTTACCTAAGTAAAACCTACAATTATTATCATTATATTAAATACATATACAAAATGCTCTTAGAGATCAAAAACATTACATCTGTTAAGACATTATAAATAAATAAAAAATGACGTCAGTCATATAGTTGCTTTTTGATAGTAATTGTATACAACTAAAAAAAGTGTTGATATTTTAGATAACTCACGGCAAATATTAAGAAAATATCAAAAATGTGTAAGTTAGTTAAAAACTCAGAGAGAATTATTCTTAATAAAAGTGTCTTAAGGATACAATGACTTCTAAGGCAAAAGAAACAGTAGTATAACATTTTTTTAGACTGGAAACAAACTTCTTATTGAAAATATACATAAAGTCGATAGATCGAATAAAAAATAACCAATACTTTCACACAATAAGTACCTTGGTAAAAATCTCATCATTATGTCTCCATCTCCTGTAGCAGCAGCTGCTCCGTAATTACTATCTGCATAAGCTCCTGCGCCGGGTATAGGTGAATCTCCAACTCTCCTAAAAGTAATAATAACACAGCACTAAAAAAAGTAGGTTGGGCCGTGGACCACACCAGTGTATGCTAATTTCCAGGTGGATTCGTGTTCTGATCCTAATCTAGAAACTTTAGAAATCAGTTTTCTAGACTTCAAATTGACTTGCATAGTTATTGGAAAAACATTGAAATTCATGATATTGTTGCACCATAACCCTATAACCTCGTAGTTTTATAACCCCGTAACCCCGTAAACAGGATCTGGGAGTTTGTAAAACTAAGAAACTCTGTGGGCATACGGATTTCATTATTTCATAAATAGTCTACAACAACATGACTGGATTGGCAAACCCGTAACATCATAACGCGGGATGTGTGAGGGCATCGTGTTCCCACGAAACTGTAGGAACATATAATGATTACGAATTGGCAGGCTTTCATTGCCCCACAACCCCTAACACGATAACCAAAAGCATAATTACAAAACTTTATGAAATTGGGTCTGCAATAAAAAACGTAATCATACCTCCGTGATTGTTAATTTTGCAATAAAAATCGGTCAATTAATAGGTTACGGGATTATGGAGTTGTAGTTACAGATTGATGGGTATATAATGAGATTACATTATAAATTCTAATGTTTTTCTTTTCACTGACTATTTAACCTAAGTACGACTAGTGCGATTTGAAACCTCGAGAGTTTTTTTGATGTCAGGGTTAAAAAACGAACTGCTCCGGGAACTCTGTCTTTAGATTTGGATTCAGGTGAAAACATTACAACATACACTGCTCTGGTCCATGATTCAACACACTTTTTTTATAACGCTGTGCAATTTATCTGGAGTGAAGCATATATCTCCCAAAAACTTAAGATTTATAATAGTGAATACGAGAACTTCCATAAAATAAAAACAAGCAAAGGTCGGACGGGAATATAAACTTTTTTCTATATAGCGTTTTTTGTACTTCTAACTGTTTTCAATATACAGGGTCACCCGAAATTCATGCAACAAAATTTGGTCATAGATTCTTAAGACAAATTTAGGGGACCGGTCTTTCGGAGTTACAGCCCCCTGAAATCTGCCCCTAAGAAGCCTTTTTTATATCTCAAAACCATGTTGTACGAGAATCACTAAATTTGATACACAGGGGTTTTATGACATGTGAAATCTCACAGTGCTACGCTTTTTGGGGAGAAACCTCCTTAAGACACTTTTTCGTGGGCCCCCTTGTCTTTGGAACCAGAAAAATTTGGTCGCAAATTTGATTTTTTTTTTAATTATTAGTTAGCTAGAAAACCATTGAATTTAGAAACTTTTTTATCTCTTGATATTGGTTTCGTAAAATGCAATGTGTTTGAGGAAAATGGCGATTCACGATATGCATTCAATCACATTTTTGACATTTTTCTCGAAAACATTGCGTTTTACGAAAAAAGTATAAAGAGACAAAAAGTTTCTAAATGTAATGGCTTTCTAGTGGACTGATAATTTATAAGAAATTTAAATATGCGACCAAATTGTTTTGGCTCCAAAGACAAGGGGGCCCACGAAAAATTGTCTTAAGGGGATTCCCCGCCAAAAAACGTAGCGCCATCAGATTCCACATGTCATAAAACCCCTGTGTACCAAATTTAGTGATTCTCGTACTACAATGTTCTGAAATATAAAAAAAAGATTATTCTTAGGGGCGGATTTCAGGGGACTGTAACTCCGAAAGAGGGAGCCACTTGGCAAAAATAAAAAATACGGGTCCCCTAAATTTGTCTTACGAATCTGTGACCAAATTTTGTTGCACGAATTTCGGGACACCCTGTATTTAGAATTGAAAAAGTATTTTCCTAAAATATTCATCCTTGACATACGAAAAACAAAAGGAATTAGAGAAATGTTTATTCGAACTTTTTTTCAAAATTAACTGTCATACTTTACCCTGGAATTTTATATGTAGCGCCATTCGTAGATGTTCCAGCAACAATGTGGCCACTTTGAGAAATTACAATCATCCCAATTGTATCATGATTTCTCGAATTAAATTTAGTCGGTACAGTATTTGTAAGAGTATTATCTGCTAGAATGTTCGACTCAGTATATGGTCCACAATGATTTTTAGGATCTGGAAAAACATTCTGAAATCGAAATACTATATTAGCATATGACGTAGCTCGTAAAACTTTGATACATATTTAATTTAATTTATTTATTGTAACAGTCGATTGCAAGGGACTATAATAATGCATCTTTTAATCGCCATTATCTTTAAATTGTAGTTGTTTTAATCGTCCGAGGGACTAAAAGATAATTTAGTTTGATATCTATGTAGGTAGGGAATTATTAACTATAGCGAAAATCTTTCAAATTTTCCCGAAATTTTGTCTATCCTTTTATGACGGTGACGTTATTTTTGTGCGGGCAAACCTAGTTTTCGAGAAAAATAAATCAAAGTTCTAATATCTACAGTTAAGGCAACACTCATCATCATTATTTAGAACACTGTAACTCCTATATTATGTCTCTTAACAGATGTAATTATGGAGATATAATAAATCTTTCCTCTCGCGCACCAATATTCTTGGCAGGAGAAATACTCTCGAATGGGGCGGGGTTGAGCAGGATTATCGTTCTTTACCCACGCCATCTCTGTAGGCTCGGGCCTCGTAGACGCAGACCCTTTCCCTTCCCCATTATCCCCAACCGCAGACGCGGCCGAGTTCGAACGATTCATTGGGGCTCCTCTTGTCCTAACTGGGCCCCGATGGCTGGGGCCGTCTCGAGTCTGGTGGTCCTGAAATAAACAGAAAGATTCGATTCGATACCCCTAGATACTTGACGGTGATCACCCACTATATGTCTTCCCTGTTGATCTTCACGTGTCCCTGGAGGTGTGTTTGGTACCACCATCGTATGCATATGTCTTTTCTGAGGAAGAAATCCACCAGCTTGACCAGTCCGACAGAGTGGCCAAAGTCGAGTATCTTTACAAAAAGAATCTACTACTCAGTTGAGTGTCCATTGCTCATCATCGGCAGGAGACTTATAGTCCTATAACTGGAAGCAAAGTTTAGATTATTGTAAAATATTCGTAACTTTAGAATGGCGTTAACGATATTAAGCAGAGACACAATTCTCTTGTGGGGGAGCTTCCTGAGTATCTGGTTTCCGTTCTGGGTGCCTTGCGACGGTTGAAGCGTCGCAAGATACCTCTCACTTCCTTGGGCGTCGCTGCCCTAATGTCGTCCTTGTCAGGTTGGAGTCGGTAGCGCCGTACACGTCATTCCACTTCGACAACGTGATCCTCATTCTCGTCGTCGAAAAGGTTTTCCTTATACTGTAATTCAAGGCTGTCAGCGAAGGCCTCAGCGTTTTCATGCCTTGTATAGACGATCTCATTTTCACCGTGAATCGGAGACATCGGGTTTCGGGTGAACATCAATGCCTATTACATCGTTCGAGGTTTAGTGACTCCAGGTGTCGCTGCTATGAGGACTAGTAGTGCTCATCGAGAGCGGTTTTCACACTCCGGTTCAGCAAATTTAGAGCCTCCTTATTCGTTTTACCACCACGTCTTTCCTTGATTAGGTCCTGCAACGTAAGAGGTAATTCACCTACATAGTTCGCTCTCCTCCTAACCGTAGTATCCGGGGTGCTGGCTTCCAAAGCGGTGTGGATATCTGTCTCAAGGCTCACAATGGCCGCTTCAAGATCCGCTACGTCACGAATGACGAGAATGGGTGCACAGTTTTGTTGCATTTCTGCGCGGAAGTGTTCCCAATTGGTTTGCATCTTGAAGAGAATGTGTATATAAAGTTGGTTTAGCTCAGGTTAAGTTTTTTATTTATCTAATATACAGTAAGTTCACGAATGGAGTCGAAAAGAATTTTTTAAATTCTTTATTTTATCAAAAAAAAAGTTAGCTAATGTTTAATTGTACAATCATGTAGTTTGAAGTGGGTTGCCATATATAACGTGTCTCTTAGAAATGTAGTTTATTCTATCCTTAGAACTCACTAATACACTACGCTTAATTAGGATACGGATAATTGTTAATTCTCTTCCAACATTTAACATCTAAGGGTATCTTCAAATCGTTTTAATCCTTAGTGTTAGTGATAGAAAACTAGAAATTATATATTTTGGGAATGAATCTGAGTGGAAAAAATAATCCGTAACGTATTTGTGTACAAAAAATTAAGTAGGTCTTGACAAAAAAAAAATATATTTTTTTAGTGTAGGAAAAATGCATTTTTCATAAACCATATCAAAAAATCTCATGGAAAAAAAGTTACCAAGATTAAAATTTATTTTCATGTTACAAATTTGAAAGCAATCAATTTCTGCATCCTGTATAAGTGCCCTTTTTGTGTAGAAAATTGTTTAAAATTAGAATATACGTTAACGCTCCAAATTTGTTAGCAATCGGTTTTGATTTTTCAATTCAATGAATTACGAATTCAAGAAAATATATTTCTTGCTTCTGACAAGGCTAAGTTAATTACTTTTCAATCATACAGGACCGATTTCCTAATTGTCAAAATTTTAACTTAAACATTTCTGAAAGTACCTACGTTTTCCAGAAAAGATTAGATTTTTTATTACAAATGTTTTAAAAAATGTACGGGCCTCACAACGTCGTAAACAGTAAGAACTCAAATGAAGTGTACCTACAGGTCAGAATTCGTAAAATAATTGTAAAATAAAAAGTTCATCACCTTAAAACCGAATAGTAACAATATTATTATCCGCCGGTTATAACAAATTGACTTTAAATTCCCTACATAAATCATTAGTACGAATATAATTATAGTCTGGGGTCCTATTGTATTTTTAAATATACAAGTGTCTTAGAAATTTATTTTGCACTTTTTCAATATTAACTACATCAGACAGGCTGAGAATGCCATAACAATGAGCCGAATTCCAATTTTGGCCTGACTAATATGTCGTACAAATTAATAACAGTGTCAATGTTACGAAAATTTTTAGACTCTCTTATGATAAAACCTAATTATCTATATAGTCCAGTCATTATAGACATGAAACAACCTGTTTCGGGAAAAAAAATACTATTAGAAGTTTTTCTGCGGAATATTGTTCGAAAACGTGTTATAAACAAAATATCAAAAAATCAACTCGAGGCTAGTTGGGAAACTTTGTTTAAACAATGGTCAAAGTTATGGAAAAGTGTTTTTTTGACACGCGTAAAAGAACTATTATTCATAACGAAAAAAAGTTTATACAAAAAAGGTAGGTATTAAATAAACCTATAAAATGAGACAAGTCCGATTAAATTCCGATAATTTGTTTATGCGCAAGAGCTCAAAAATGGTCGAAAATGGCCGTTTTTTCAATTACTAATAATTAATGATATTTTCATCGCAAAAACTTGTAATTCAGGATTTTTTAGGCTTTTTACACTCTTAATAAGTGGTAAAAATTTCAACCCGAAAGCTTCATTGGTTTGGCGTTAGCGGAATTTGTTATCTAATAAGATGCTATTTTCAATTCATTTTTCCTAAGCTCAAAGGCGTTGTAGAATTTCGATCATTAGTTGTTTTTGTACCTAAATAGTTGTACTGACATGCATTTACTAAGAATTTAATTTTTCAAATTTAATTTGTTTAAAAATGACTTTAATTTTTTATTTAGCCTCGCTCTTCCCACTCGTTCACTAGACCGAGTAATAGAACGCATCGCCGATATCTTCTTTTTCGCAATTAAATAGTTGAATTCACCTTAATGTTAGTGTAGGATATGAAAATATAGCCTTTAATGTATGCTCTCTCCAAATTTCGGCTTTTAATAATTAAGGACAATGCGATTAAATAAAAAAAAATGTCTCAGCTTCTAATCAACTTAGAACAACGATTTTTTTTTTAATTCGAAGAAAAATAGTACTAACTAAACTATAGACGTTAGTATTTAATTTCATAATAATTACCTATCCTAACAATTCAATAAATATTAACATTTTTTCAGTCATTTTTAAACAAATTAAATTTGAAAAATTTAATTCTCAGTAAATGCATATGTCAATACAACTATTTAGGTACAAAAACAACTAATGATCGAAACTCTACAACGCCTTTGAGCTTGGGAAAAATCAATTGAAAATAGCATCTTCTTAGATAACAAATTCCGCCAACGCCAAACTAATGAAGCTTTCGGGCTGAAATTTTTACCACTTATTAAGGGTGCAAAGACCTTCAAAAATCCTGAATTTTTTATTTTTTCTCTATGAATAAGTTTTTTTACGCGAGTCAAAAAACCACTTTTCCATATTTTTGACCATTGTTTTAACAAAGTTTCCCAACTAGTTTCGAGTAGATTTTTTGATATTTTGTTTATAACACTTTTCCGAACAATATTCTGCAAAAAAACTTATAATAGTATTTTTTCCCCGAAATAAATCTATAATGATTGGCCTAATAGGCAGAAGCACACATTTTTTCAGTATGATTCCTATAAGATAGTTGGAAATCAATTTCCACGCCTCGATCCTTTACATTATTGACGCGTTTAAATGCCAAATTGTTCATTTATAGGTATACGTAATGGGCTGTTTATTACGAGTGAACGTGATCACATGGCACTTAGTGATATTAAAGAAGAGTTTATTTGCTGCGCTCCACTCATAAGCCAAGTTAATATCACATTTAAAAGTAGTACATCATTAAGACATCTCATAGGTTTAAATATTTTAAGATCAGCGAAAATTAAAGAATTTGTATTGCACAATATATATCAGGCAAGTCGTTATTGAAATACAAAAACAAAAGCGGTCCCAAACTTAAGCCTTGAGGCTCACCCGATTTTGCGTTATATTTTTCTGAAACATTGCTATCAAATTTAACAATAAATTTACGATCATGGAGATAAGTCATTAACACCTTTATAAACACATCTGCCACATCATACCCATGATCATGATCTACTGTATAAACGGTAGATATCCACCTGTACACCTGCCTCAAATGCATCTAATATATTTTATCTGCTCCCACTATAGTAAATAGACTATCAATACATTGTTTTTAAGGAGGTAAGTGGATTTTACCGTTGAAGTGTTGCTATGGACAACAGGAGGTAAGTTACCTCACTTACCTCCCTAGGGAAGAAAGAGACTTCGAGTTATAAATGCATATTTTATGAACAAATAAATAGAAATATTTGACTTTCCTAATTATTATGAATGAATATTTATAGTAAGTGTACAGTTATTACATTTAGTAACATTTATGAAATCTGGATAATTATTCCCCTCGCGTTTACTAACTGTCACAATTTTCTCAAAATGATTTGACCGCTCCATTTCAGTCACCGGACGCTCAATATTATCTCACTGATCCATTAAAACAGCATGATGCGACGTACCTACAACTAGAACCTGGAGTTGAAGTGTCATTGTAAAAAACCCCTGTTGGCTATTTAATTTTTGTTACCTACTTAAACTGTCAGTAACATAACTTTCTGCAATTGCAGCTGATTTCCACCCACCGTCTCTTGATTGCTAATACATCAACTCCTGTATTTGCCAGTAACGTTGCCGATGTTCTTCGGAATGAATGGCCTGTATATGTTTCAGGATGTTCTAGTTTCAAAAACTGTGCAATCTTATTAGGAATCATAGAAAGGGCATTCTTGCCGACTGGTTGGTTGTAACAGCCTACCTGCTTGATAGCGCATAAAAAATCCTGCAATTTAAGTTTTAATATCCAATATAATCTTGATATACTTCTTGAGAATTTCTAGGTGAGAAACAGAACCCAGACGAGAAGTAATTGTAAACATACATACCAATTTTAGAATGTGGTATTGTAATGTCATCGAAATTTTTTAAATTGACGTTGTCCAAAGTAAGTTTGCATAACTCATCAGAACGGCATGCTCCTGCAATGCCTAAGACCATCACTACCTTCATTAGCAAACATGTGTTACCGGGTGCCTGAACGAGAAAATCGTTGACTTGTTCTCTTGTAAAAACGTTTGACTTTTTAAGTGTATAGCCGTTATTCTTGACTTCTTCATGAAATACGGTAGCAGTGACATTTCAGAAACGCCAGTATTTTTGTTCTGGAATACGTAATCTCACGTAATAAAAATTCGCAGGCAGCATTTGCTGCACTTTCTATTTGAAAATCACTCATTTAGAAATAATAACTCAAAACCATCAAAATTGCAACTTTTATATTTAACGACAAAATCCAAACAACCAAGGCGTTTGCAACATTTCAAATAATGTCAAGATGAATTGATTAAAAAATGTCAAAAAATAAAACCTAATCTTTAATCATGCACCATAAAGGACTAAGGGAGCAAATACAAAGTTATACACCACACAACAGTTAAGTATAATTTACCAGTCTCGGACGATTTTGCAATTGGTAAATAATACACCTCCTTTATGGTGTAAATATGTAATGCGTAAACGTCAATAAATTAGTGCTAATTGAACGTTTTGGTACGAAACCATGTTGATTGGTCCTGGCTATATTACTAAAATGCCTCCATAAAAACGAGTAGGTACAATATTAGTTCAAAGATTTTTGCGGGCGCTGGGAGTACATCAATTGGACGATAATTGTCGATATTAGTCTTTTCCCCTGATTTATGTATTGGAGTAATAAGTGATATTTTCCATAACTCAGGGAACTTATTGCGTTTCAGAATCAAATTATACAGGGTGGTCCGAATTTTATGCAGGAAACTTCGAGGGTAGATAGATCTCTTTAAAATAATATGTGTTTGCCTTATAAACATAGGTCTGGAACGGCCCCATTTTAGAGATACAGGGTGTTGAGGTTTAAAAAAAAAATTTTTTTGTTTATATTGCACACTCTTCACAGGTGGTGTAGAAAGGAGTGTAAATAATTTTGTTGATGTGTTTACAAATTGCACTTACTTTTAAACATAAACAAATATTCTTGTAATATTGTCGTTAGAAGTGTCTGCCACAAGGGGATTGTATTGGTATGAATACCTTGAGAACGGCTAATCTTAGGGAAAAAATTAAAGTAATCTTTTTTACGTATTTTGAGCATTAAAATATAAATCAGTTACAATGACATGTAAAAAATGCAGTGGCGTAGGTTTTTTTGTAAAAAAGGGGGTGACCCCTGTCTAGTTGTACACCACTGGTTGAACCTTTAAAGATCATATTTCAGGGAATATAAGGCCTACTATCATACATTATATGTACCAAATTTTATTGAGATCGGCTAATAGATTCCGGAGATATAAACAAAAAATCAATTTTTTTTGACAACTTCAACACTCTGTATCTCTAAAACGGTGCCGTTCCAGACCTATGTTTATAAGGCAAACACATATTATTTTAAAGAGATCTATCTGCCCTCGAAGTTTCCTGCATAAAATTCGGACCACCCTGTATATGTGCAAAAGAGGTTCCTTAAGATATTCTGCACAGCCCTTCAATATATAGGGTGACAACCTATCGTACCCCGCGGATCGTTGTGATTTCAATTTCACTGATCTGATGCTCATGTGATATACTGTATAACGACAAAATATTTTTGGGGATAAACCAAATAAGTCAAGTAAACAATTTGAAATGATTATTACTCAAGATAATAATAATGAATAAGGTATGTTTAGACGTAGGTATTAGTTTTTCCTTTTCAGGTTGCTTTAATATCTGATATTGCCGGTGCATGTCGCCGTGATGAACTGTGTCAATTGAATAGCATCAAAGCTATTGATTAAAATATCGGATAATAAAACAAAAAAACATATAGAAATATGTTGTATTCCGCCCAAAAAATTTTGAAAGCTGTTTCTTTTTTTTTAAATACTCAAATGGCAAGGATTGCAGGCAAATACATAGTAGGAATATATAGTTTAGTAAAATGCCTCAAATTGTCACAAATGCAGAAAATTACACAGGACATTGTTTTCGTTGATCTCCTGCGACCATTTTGGTTAATGCTGGAGCAGATGTAATAGGATTAAATGGCGAATGGAAATCTTCAAACGTCAAATCAAAAATATATAGAGAAATATTTTACAAATAGACATAGCAGATGAAAGATTTAGAGGGGAGGGGGGGGACAGATAAATTTGCTAATAGTAATAATATTTTTGAAGAAAAAATAATTAAAAGAAATAAAATCTCGGACTTTTCGAATAAAGTTCAGCTAATATTTAATACATAATTATACAAACTGCAACATAACTATAAATATAAACAAGTAGTTATAATAAACGTTTAATATATAGAATACGTTCAATAAATATTATAATGACTGCAATAAATTGGCTGCTAAGTTCACACCGGTGAGGAACGAGTAGTGAGAACTAAAGTAGTATCAGGAGAGAAAGCGAAGATGGGTCAAACCCTAGACCTTACACTATTTGCTACCTACCTTTAAATTCTTTAAAACAATTATTTACACAAAAATGTATTTATTTATTTATTATTTAATTATTTATTACTTCTCTGCTTTTAAAATTTTGTTTTACATTTTTTATGTGGGCTTTCTGCGAGAATGTATAAAGTTTGTAACTACACATCCAACCTTCATTGGCCAGATGAAATAAGTTGATATGTAGGTACCTACATAAGTCGAGTTTTTAATCGGGAAAAAGTTAGATGAATTAGTGCACTGAATTAGAAATGTCACTAATGAGTAATAACTTTGATGGAATATCAAGGATTATAAAAAAAGCTCCGATAGTTTTTGAATAAAAAACTATGCCATAAATATTTTCTTTTGTTAGTTTAAAATATCTTTAAATCGTTATATTCATATTTATGTGCAACTATTCCCACCATTTTTTTTATTTTTAGCAAGATATTTTCATCTAAATTTTGATTATGTTTCTTTTGTAACTTTCTAAACTGCAACAGATAGTTCTACTACTGATATAATTCGTTCTTTTAACCAAAATAAGTTCTGTGTAAGTGTGTCTGTGTAATATTATGAGATTTAATTTAAAACATTGGATAAAGATTGTCAAAAAATATAAGCTTTAATTACCTTCCAGAAATTTGGTTGACAATTATTTGCTTTCCATTCTTCCCACAAATTTAAAGAAAAATTTGTTTGTAAGGATTCATTGGGAAATCCAAATTTCTCAGCAAATGCTGACGCTAAATTTCCAACCAAAAATGAATGTTCGGAATGTTCCAGTACATATCTAGCAACAGCTATTGCATTTTTCACACTTCTTAAACCACCGACAGCTCCCATATCCATTGTATCGCTAAAGTTTAAAATATAGCTATTTTGATAAAAATAGAATTTGCATTTATTTAAAAAATAAAAATGATAATTCTTTGTTCCACAAATTAATATAACAAGGTAAGTGAAAGAATTTTTAGTTAACTTCAGTAAGCAACTATCAAAGAAGCTCTAAAATAGTTCCTTCACATTTTTTATTACAAGTCTTAATTTAAACTATTGCATTTAGTCATCGCATCTTGTTTATACAGGGTGCTCGGAAATAGTGGTACTTCTCTTTGAGGGTAGATTTGTCGACTCAAAATAAGACAAAAATTTCATATAAACATGGGTCCGCAAATCCACCCTACGGGAGGTAGACGCGTTTGAAGATGACTTTAAATAAATGGATTTTTGCCAATAACTTTTAACTGCTTTAAAGAAGAGGGATAAGTTTTGGACGATAAGTTACTACTAAAGAACATGATTATTTGAGGGTATTATTTGATCCGGGTTTATAACCCAAGACGTGCAAACTAGGGGGGTATGACCACATTTTTATCAAAAAAAAATTGATGGTGATAAGTTACTACTAAAGTGCAAAGAATTATTTGGTAGTACAAAAATATCCAGAAATTAACTGAACAATTTTTTTTTTATGAAAATGTGGTCATGGTCATACCCCCCTCCAGTTTGCACGCCAGGGTTATAACCTGGATCAACTAATACCCTCAAATAATCATGTTTCTTAGTAGTAACTTATCGTTAAAAACTTATTCCTCTCATTTAAAGCAGTTATTGGTAAAAACCCATTAACTTAAAAGTCATCTTCAAACGCGTCTACCTCCCATACGGTGGATTTGGGGACACATGTTTATATGAAATTTTTGTCTTATTTTGAGTCGATAAATCTACCCTCAAAGGGAAGTACTACTATTTCCGAACACCCTGTATAATATGTGCAATAATCAACCATTTGCTAGATGACTTTTTTTACTGTATCATAGAAAGTGTCTTATTTAAAATAATATTTACTGTACTGTGATAGTGTCTATCTAGGTGTGACAATGTTACAATAAAAAAGCTTTATTATTGTCAAGATATAATAAATACAGCTGCAAATATCTGCCAAATGGTTAATTTTAAGAACTTAATGAATAAAATCAAAATTGTCCAAAATTTTACTCTATGTTCTTTATAAAACAACCAATTTTGTTTGTTTCTGAGATAGAAGAACGTCTTTGCCCAATCACGCCATCTACAAAATTAAATGAATCGTCAATACAGGGTGATTCAAAAACGCTGACTAAAAATGAAACCTCGTATTCTTTGGTGAATTTCTTTCAGATAAAGTTTTTATCTAGGACGCTTTATTAAAAAGATATAGGGTGTTACCGGTGGTCTGTGGCTGTTACTCCAATTTAAAAAAAAGTTTTTAATTTTTTTAAATAATTTAAAAACTAGTAAGTGAAATAATTTGAAATTGGGCACGTGTATTTATGTAAACATTGTCCAAGTTCTTTTCCTAAAATTTACATACTCCATTGGGAAGATACAGGGTATCAGTGGCATATTTTTCTAAATAAAATAGTACGCCATTTATTTATGGTAAAAATCATGATATTTTCGGATTCATCTTTCAATTTTCCACAAATTACTACTCTTTCATGTTTTTCGAAAAAAGACTGATTTTCGAGTAAAATTTAAAAAACTAACCATCCGTTAATGTTTTCAGAATGTCTATAACGGCAACATCTTATTAAACATATCTAAAACGTTTAAAAATATATTTCAAAATGTTATAAAAATATTATAACGTTTGACGTTTGATTTGACTAATGATATTTTAAAAACATTTTTAAAACATTCATTTACTGTAGGAGTCATATTTTGGGAAGAATTATTGTACTCACTAATCATTTCCAATAATAATTTGTGAAAATATTCGATTACAAGTTTCTGACTTTTACAAAATGCCATTTCATTAAATCAAATCTGCAAATAAAAATTGAGGCTACCTGTAAAAAATATATTTACGAAATGGAATAATTTGTTTCTGTAAATGTAAGTTCTTGAATCATCATATCATAAAAGACGCAAAAGTATTAGTGTACTAAATTTCATTTAAATCGAACGTTTTAGAGTAGGTAATTCGGAAAATTTTAAATTTTTTTGCCACTTTGACGTAATTTAGAAGCTAAACGAAGCAATTTTGGATAGAGGTAAGTTTAGTTAAATCCTCACATGGGATATTTAGGACACCTTCTGTATGCCTTAAAATTAATTAATCGCAAATAAATGGAAATAAAATATTTTTTTTTAAGGACGTACCCATCAAAAATTAAGGCATCCAATGTGGTTTCTCCATTTTCATCAGGAGATCCTCCATAACCAACAGTGTTATCGCATTGTTCGTCTTGACAAACTTTGCACCCAAGCGTTAAAGCATCCAATGCGTTGTCGTTTTCGCTTATGTTTAAAATTTCCCAGGCTGCACAAAGCCAGGTTATCTTAAAATGCAGATACAATGCAGATAAAATTGCTTACCTTTCTGGGTGGCGTTAATAAAATTCCATGTATTCACAACTAATGGTATATTAGCAGAACACAACTGGAAGGTAAAAATGATCAATAAGATCTTCATTTTATGACCACAGTTCCTGTACTGATATTTATTAGAAATCACTACGGCAGATAAGATAATTTTTATTATAATTATTAAAATATAGGTATACTATAAAATAGATTTATATAATGTTAAAATTTATGATTTGTAAGATAAGTAATAACATGGGAGAATTTTTTCCACAAGTTTATTTAAACATATTACATTTACTCCACGATGAATCAAATCATTAATGAACAGAATACAAAAGATTATGAACGGTAGGTAGGACGTCAGGATCCAGGGTTGCAACGGAATTATGGAAATCACAAGCTATATTCGACCCGACATGTGACAGGCCACTTGTCAAGGTATACGTATGCTGCAAGCAGTGCGTGACCCACTAGGATAATTAACATTGGACCTTGAACCCCTTTAGACTTACAATAGCTACATACAGAGGGACATTTAACCCATTATAATAACTAGAGAGCGGACAATGTGTGTCTTTAACCCGAAGAATAGGTCAAATTTTGGTAGAGATGCGTAAGCGTTCAAAAATGTATTGTGTATAAACTATGCAAAATATAATTATTATGTATAGCAAATATATCGTATTATCCTCGCGAAGATTTGTACCCTTTATTTAAAATCCATAAATCATGTGAACAGGTTAAATAACGAGAAAATAATTAAGTTAATTTAGTTCTAAAGAAATGAAATGACACTCGCGCCCATCTCTAGTCCAGCCGTCGACATCGGTTGCGTTTATCGAATTCCTATTGGTCAGAATTCAAACAGCAGCCCTGTTATGAATGGAGCGTGAGTTGGACTATTCTATCATGTGCGTCGCCTGAGGTTATTCGTTACATTGACTCCTAATTTCCAATTAAAAAAAGACACTATTTTTAATTGAACTTTATTTAGTAAATATGTAGTTATATAATTCCTAATTTTCTAAATATTTTATAACGCCGAAAAATGTATGTACCGTGGAATTTTCGTGAATTATCACGTAAATTTCCGATGCATACCCGACACGCCACTGCGTCATGGGTAATGTATCTAGGTTTATGAATGACATACCTATGTTCAAGGTTAAAGTCACAAATTGTCCGCTCTCTGATAATAGCATAAATAGTATTGAGACTAAAATATACAGTAGAACGGACATTTAATCCATCGAAACACATTAAGGACATTTCCTCCACTTCAACAATATCGGGACATTTAACCCACTTCAACAATACAGGGTGTTTCTAAAATAGGGTTCCAAACTTCTGCTGCGTTTATAACTCATTAAAATAAGCCAAAAAGTTCCTATTAACATGCGCCCTAAAACGCACCTTTAGGAAGTTATATGCCCTTAAAAGGGCTCAAACAAAACTGTTTTTTTTTCTGTTATTGACAAAACGGTCGCAAATAAATAGAAAAAAATGTATGGGTCTTACATAACTTCTTACGTTAAATAACATGGGCTACTCCGTTTTTCGACATGCAAATCATATGCGTCCCATTTAGGTTGGTGAAGGGGGTTTTCGGACCGTAATTTTTTTACAATTTTCTCTACAGATTTATAAAATCTTAACAATTTTACGTAAAAATTATTATCTTTGTCCAAATCGATTTTTCCAATGGTTTTCGAGTAAATTGAGTTTGAAAACTACTCTGCTCTTTAAGTTATTGGACCAAAAATTACAAAAATCTGTTTACCATGGCAAATAAAAGACTGACGTTGCCACAACGCTTAACAATTAAAGTCTTAGTTTATGTCCTAAATTATTTATTAAATGATCGGATCCTTCATAACTGCAATTTATTTGAAAAAAAAAAGTTTTGTTTGAGCCCTTTTAAGGGCATATAACTTCCTAAGGGTACGTTTTAGGGCACATGTTAATAGGAACCTTTTGGCTTATTTTAATGAGTTATAAACGCAGCAGAAGTTTGGAACCCTATTAACACCCTGTATAGAGACATTTAAACCACTTCAACAATATCGGGACATTTACCCCACTTCAACAAAATCGGGACATTTAAACCACTTCCACACTATCGGGACATTTAACCCACTTCAACAATATCGCTCAAATACATAAATAATATCGATAGGTAGGTACTCACTAAAACGTATATACGTTGAAGGGACATCGAAATACATCAGCAGCAAAGAGTCCTTTAACCTACTACAATATACAGAATGTTGCATGACGTACTAAACAAACTTAAGGAATAATTTCCTGAGGTCATGTTGAGTAAAAAAGTTATAAACATACATGGGGTTGCCGAGTTATGGTCCTTTTTTTAGAAATAAGTACTTACATGTATACAGGTTTTAAACTTTTACGATGTTTAATTATCAGGAATAGCAATAACAAAATAACAAAAATACCATAGTTACTTATTTACGTTGTTGAAAATGTCCTCCTTCAACATTAATACATTGTACAGCACGATCAAGAATAGATTGCTCTTAAAATCCCTGGGTTATTCCTCACTTGCTGACATTTATCAATAATTATCTGCATAAGCTCCTGTCTACTATTAATTGGTGTCTCGTACATTAAGCTTTTAAGATGGCCCCACAGGTCCAACGGATTGAGATCTGGCGATGTCTGTGGCCAAGAATGTGGTCCTCCACATCCGATCCACCTATTAATATAGCTGCCATTAAGATATTAATCAACTAAAATGAAGAAGTTCTCATCCATCATGTTGTAACATTATTTTTTGTCTTGTAAGTATAGGAATATCTTCCAATAGACCTAGCAGTTCATTACCTACTTAAAAAGTTGGTGTAAACTTCTCCTGTAAGACGCTCTTCTAATTAAGAAAGATCAATTAGTTGATCAATTATACCACACCAGAGATTTATAGAAATTCGCATTAGACCATCTGAGAGAGTTGAGCATATTATTCACTCTGTCTCCAGTGAACAGCGACTCATCGGTAAATAAAATACGTCTTATAATTGAGGATTTTCTTGATCCACTGACAAAAATGTACCCGTGAAAGACGCTGAATAACATATTGTACATGATAGGATATAGTAGATTGCTACGTAATGTTCGCCATACTCTCCAATGAGTAACATTCGTAAGTACTGAAATTCTCCTGGTATTTAATTCTGAACTGTTTTCAATTTTCTGCAAAATGTTTTCTTGCTCAATCAAATTTTGCTGCTCAGGACGTTCATAGTTAGTTGACATTGTTGGAAATGAACCATGTCATATGCGTTCACAGATGTCGAAACACAGAATCAAATGTTTGATAATTTGGCACTCTCCTATTTAGAAATCGTCGTTGATACTATCTACGGGCGGCTACCGAATTTTCGTCACAAAATCCATCAATGTAAACTATGTCTTCGTTTGAAAAATAGCGATAGAGGCATGTTGACAGAAAAAATATTACTAGGACGTTCACACAGTTAACTACTCATAAACTTACGTTTATAAACTTTGACATCACTTGCTTTGTCAACTAACATGATCATAGCTAGCGAGATTGAATATTAAAACATTATACAGAGGGCAACAATTTTCACACCCAAAAACCAGACCTTACTTGCCCGAAGGTTTTTGGCGCGCAGAATCCTAATCCGGCGTCAGAATTGCTCCTACAAGTAACGTTTCCGAGATATCCTAACCTAAAAGTTAAATAAACACGTTTTTGCTATATTTTGAGCTTATATCACAGAGCGAAAACATTGTTTTCAAAAAACGAATAATACCCTCTAAAACTACCACTCTTACCCTTAAAGCGCTTTTTTCAGATTTAAAAAATCTTTTTTATTCGCGGAGATATTATTGAATGAAGTTTTATAACAGTGGCACTAAAATTGAAAAAAGTTCCTCAGAAAGTGGAAAATTCAAAATTCAATTCAAAATCACTTAAAGATTCTGAGATTTCCTAACGATTTTGGGATGAACTATCAGTGTTAACCTCTATAACTGTAACACGGAGCCATTTAACATAGAAGCACGTAACCTGCAAATACTACACCCACAACAGGTTAACCTAAGGGCTTAATAATCGCTACCATAATAACCACTACCTGCCCACGACAGGTTAACCTAAGCATACAATAACCTGCAATAGTTAAATCCCAGACAGGTTAACCCAAGTGTACAATAAGCTGCGAGGGCTACACCCCAGACAGGTTGATTTTGCAGTTTTATGTTAGGAAATGTCAGAATCTGAAAGTCATAGAATAATTTGGAGGTCAGATTCGGATTGAGCGACCCAAAAAACATGTAAATATCCGTTTTCTGAAAAACTTTTTTCAATGTTAATATTACTGTTATGAAAACGCTAAAGTACCTAACTTCATTCAATGATATCTCCGCAAATAAAAAAGATTTTTCAAATTTGAAAACAGCATTTTGAAGGGTAAGAGTGGTAGTTTTAGAGGGCATGATTTGCTTTAAAAAAAAATTTCGCTCTGTGATATAAGTTCATCAAATATAGCAAAAAACCTGTTTTTTGCACTTTTAGGATAAAATATCTCGGAAACGTGGCGTATTGGAGCAATTCTGACGCCGGATTTGGGCAGCAAAAACCTTTGGGCAAGCAAGGTCTGGTTTTTGGGTGTGATCTTTCTTCAAATTTTGTTGCCCTGTGATTATTATTTCTAAACTTTAATGTCCCATAGCACGGTAACCATAAAAAATTGAATCCTTGTATATTATAACTTTTTTAATTTTTATAATCGATAATACAAACTACTAAGAGTTTGTCTATTTAACAAAATGCAGCTAATAAAAATGTATTCACAATACAATTAATTTTGCAGTGTTTACCAGAATTTATATGCTTTTCTACAATTTATCTTTGAAAAAGAATTGTTATTTTCGGTCGTTTAAATGAATATTTTAAGATTATGTTACGAATGTTAAATTTTTATTTCTTGTAGATTTGTGTAAAAATGCCGTTTACACCGGAACAAAACGCATTTATTTTGATGCTAAATTTTCGCAATGGTACAGGGAACGCAGGATGCAAATAGAACTTTGTCTTAGTCTTTGCAATCCAATGGAATGACTTGTTGAAGCGTTTCCTGATGCTAATATCGTATATGAGGTGTTTAAAACCCACAAATTAATCATTATTAAAAGATATATAAAGAAATATTGTATTTGTAACGGCAAGTTGACAGGCAGACCTACTGTTTCAACAAAAAATGTTGAAGATATTCGACAACGAAATTGTCTCGTCTTGTCTTGTCGAGACAATATCCCGTAAAATCATCAAAGTCGATTGAATTCTAATTCGTGAAAATGATTTATACAATTGCTGAAAAAGTGGAAATAATTTAGTTTGTTCTACAAGAATGATGACTGTGCACGGCAGGCAGCACACATTTTTAATGATCCGTCATCGTGACAAAAACACGTCGCATTGGTACGTCCTAGATTTAGTACATAAATTTTCGGAAACTGGATCGGTTGCAAACAGAAAGCATCAACGTGAACAGGTCGTACGTAATGAGGGTAATCAGGTAAGTAGTTGTCCTGGGTCACATCGCAATGAAACCAAATTTGAGTCTCAGGAAATCTGCAAGTACTTGAGGAATTTCTGTACCTAGATACTGCCGAATCTTAAAGATTCATAAGTATTACCTATACAAAATTCATTTGTTACAAGAAATTAATGAAGACGATACTGATCGCCGCTAGCAGGTTCTGTGAAGGAATCCAAATTGTTTGTACTCAATCTGTTTTTCCGATGAATGTACGTTCCAACTCAAATTTATGCAACACGACCGAACTCACTTGAGGAGCTTCGTCGGCGAATTGTTGAATGTCGTCAGACAACGCCCGAAATGCTTCGAAATGTTTGTACGGAAGTGGAAGATTTTATTATTGTATGGAAGAGGGGGGGGGGAACTAATTTGAGCTGTTTATTAACACTTAATAAAATAACATTATTTCATTCATTGATATTTTGTCTTATTCTTTAAGTGATGATTTTATTGTCACCCAAACCAACATTTAAAAAGTTGTATGTCGTCGTGAGCAAAATTGAAAAAGCTTTAAAATGAGGTGTCGCTCAACATAGGGTGCCATTTAAAGTTTAAGGATATTTTACGCACCTGCCTTCCGCCAAGACACCAAAACTTACGCCATCACGTGTCCCCCTTGAAAAGATAATAATCGACGTTATAGATTCTTTTTGTTTTTTTTTTTAATTCCGATATTTTCCAGGTGAGAACTTTTAATTGGAACACCCTGTATGACCGGATGGTCGCGTTGCTTAGATTTCCGTCCGCATCTGCTTACATCGATAAACAGGTCAACTGATAACGTCAAACTACAATTATTACCACAGAATTTGCTTACCTTCCTCTGCAAGACAAAGTAAAATAATATATACTTTAATAGAAATAGGAATCCTACGTTTTCCAATTTAATTAAATTTACACAAAGCCTCTAATGTGACTAGTCATTTCAACAAAATATATGAGATATACAATTCATGTATCGTACACAATCCTGACCAAATTGTAATTAAACTTCACTCAATTGAAATTATATTTATCACTGCTGTTATTTATTAGACAGTAAGGGAGGGGAACACGTAACAGACGAGCCGTGACCAGACCAGAGTTCTGCATCATTTTGCATTTTTAAATGTCGCGTCTTATTTCGTAGATATATATTATTATACATCAGAGTAATAAATAAAGGGGAGACCGCATTCCCTATTTCAGTATACAGTGTAAACATGTAACCTCAACCTATTGTATGTTGATAAACAAATGATATATAAGTAAACACAATGGTCCCTGGTACAGTGGCGTACCGAGTTTAGGTTTAAAATCTATCATAATATAAGGAAACCATAAAAATTATACCTACTTTTTAATAGAATTTGATAAAATCAGAAGTGCTCTATCATTTTAACTTTCATGTGTAATAAATAGACAATAAATAGGAAACAGTTAGTGGTTTCTTCAAAATCTATAATTAATATTTTAAAAACAGTTCCAGAACAAAAGAGTGACTAAAGAAAACTCCTCGATTGAAACCGTCATTATACTATAACTACCAAGCGAACATAATTTTACAAGTATCCAATGCTAAAATATGATGCATTCAATGCCATTGCCTGCTATTAGTTCTATTATTTCATAGTAGTTCTCGATTACTGGAAAAACTACATTTATTAAAATAAAACTACAAGAAAAAGAGCAAAAATTTTAATTAAAATCTGCTGGAATATAAACAAATGGAAAAATGAAATTACATTGAACAACATTCAATCGTATGGGAAAATAAACATGTTCCAAGCACGTTTTAAATGTACGCAACAAAAATAAATTGAATTTTGAGCTCATAGCATTAACAGCTCCTTTCTTATAGAACAGGGACAACATGTGATTGAAGATGTTTTATAGTAACATCTATAAAATTTCCTTCACTGGCAATTTCTCGAAAGAAGAACCTTTGAGACGGCACAACCTTTTCATCAACACTGCTAAAAATGTTTGTTAAATTATTCTTATTACCTTTTTAAAACATATTACCTTCCAAATGTTGATTATAATAGGGACAGCTCCATGTGTGAGACATCGTTTTCCAGTTACTGTTACCTTAATATCTGTAGCACGGAAATGCTTCGAACATACATAATTATCCTTTGATAAATCATATTCAGATATGGTTAAATTTTCTAACCACACTGCTCGTATCGCAAGATCTTATGATATTCTACAAATAAACACAGAGCTAGTGTTAGTGTCAAAATACAAACATAATAAACTAACAAATAAAATACTTGGAACACCTTACACCCTTGTAAGAACGCCCATGGAAACAATGTCAAATTTACTTGTGAAAAGAAGTAGCACATATTTGGCTCTTTTCCTGTAATTGTCTGCATATTGTACACCGCTTTGGCATTTTTATTCAAATTAAATAAAAAAACACAGTTTAAAAAGACACAAAACACTGAACTCGGCTAATATCGATTTCACAATAATAGACTGTAGTAATGGCGTCCCTTACACGGCGTCCTGGGTGAGCGGCGACAAACGGCCGGTGCGGCCGGCGCGTTCGACGCGCTTGAAATGGCCGACGCGATGCTGACGTCTATTTCTGTTAAGAGTGCAGGTCCATTCTCTCGAATGGTCGATTATATAATTCTCATATAATTTTTAAGATTTAAAAATGTAAACTGAAGCGGCAGAGGCGGAATTATCAAATAATTTGATCGCGTCGTCCGCATGAAAACCGCACGAGCCGCTTGTGCCGGGCGGTACCTCGTACGTAGGANTATACTACTGATGCGGATGGCAGTAACGTGGAATTTTCGTTTATGTCGGAGTTGGCGAATGCGTTGTGAATGTGGTTTACAATTTACTCGAATTTACTTGTCGAAGCGGTGAATAAACGGCGAAGCGAATTCTTTTTAAATGTTGATGCGAAGTTGATGCTGGTATGTAACGCAGCGATGATTTGGTGGTTGAACTGTAGCGCGGAGCGGCTTGAGTTGAGTTTCGATGCTGTAGTAGCGCGTGACTGCTTGGTGTCGAGGTCTGATACAGTGGCTGGAGCGCGCTGTTGCCGGAGCGCCGAAAAGCGCGCTGGTGGGCAGAGCCTAGCTCTTCCTCACCGAAACGTATAAAAGGCGGGGGATGTTAACAAACGCTTCTAGCTCAGATAAGTTCCAAGCGAGTAGCCGAACTGTGCGGACGTAGTTTGTGCAGTGCATCAGTGAGTGTAAGTGCGAGGAACTGTGAAGTGGACAAGTGGTCTTACAAGACAAGTAATATTCTGCCTTTATTAAGGCACTCTATAGAAAGAATTCGGCAATTTTATATTGCAAAATTTCTACTAACGACCGACGTTATCTCAGCCTAGGCAGAGAGACCGCCGGCATTTATTTTACAGATTCGGGTGCCCGGGAGGAGGGCACTATGTCGAGATCTCCGACCCCCATGGAAAGCGACCGCTCGAGTGGCAGCGAGGCCGGCGACAGCAGGCCTAACACCCCCGGGTCGGTCGTGGAGACAACTAGCCGTGAGAGTGAGCTGGCAGCAGAGAATGCCAGACTACGGCAAATGATTGACGACCTCAGAGATGAGCTGAGGCAACAGAGGAAGGCGTTCGACGACCTTGAAAAGAGGTCTCGAGAACAGCACGAAGAGCTTTTAAACGCCCTCAAGGGACAACAGACCCCAAAAGGGGTAAAGCGAGGTAAGTCAGGGACCTCGTCGGGTTCCGAGGAGGAGTCCTGCAAGGCTAAAAAGAAGCCAGCAAAAGCGAACGAAGCACCTGTCGCCGAACAGGTGAAGGTCACCGAGATCGTACCAGCGACGACATCAGAGCGCGCGGCCCCTGCCGAGAAAGCCGAGAGGATACCGCCTGTCATCCTTCGCAAGAAGGAGCAGTGGACTGAGGTCAGCAGGAGTCTGACCAACAGAAAAATAAATTACACCAGGGCCAGGTTAACGGGTGAAGGCATCGCCATTCACCCGCAAACGCCTGATGATTATCGACGCCTCACGCGTGTCCTCGCCGATGAGGGGAAGGAATTTCACACCTTCTCTCTCCCAAGCGAGCGGCTGCTGAGGGCCGTGATCAGAGGGCTACCAGACGGAATTTCCAACGAGGAAATTCGGTCTGACCTCGAAGTACAGGGCTTCAAAATAACTTCTGTTTTCAGAATGAAGAGCCGGAGGAACAAGGCCCCCATGCCTCTAGTACTTGTACAAGTCCCCCAGGAGCAAGAGGACCTGCTCAAGGTGACAAGATGCTGCCACCTAGTCGTCAGGGTGGAACCGCAGAGGGCGAGAACCGAGCCGACGCAGTGCCATCGCTGCCAACGCTTCGGTCACGCGCAGAGCCGGTGCACCGCAGCTGTCAAGTGCGTGAAGTGCGGCGAGGGTCACCACTCGGCAGACTGCACCAAAAAACGTGAGACACCAGCAAGGTGCGCCAATTGCGGTGGCGAACATCCTGCCAGCTACCGCGGATGCCCAAGCTTCCCTAAAAAGACGACAGGGAAGCAGCAACAGCGCAAAGAAGACCCCCAAGCCGACAAACAACAGGCCAAGTCGGCACACCCCCCGAAGGTGACGGCGGCGAAAAGCTTCGCCGACGCCGCCAGGCCGAAGCAGGCCCCTGCCGCTGCACACAAGGGGGGCCCCAAAACCGACAGGGGTGCGGAACCCGCAAATGTGGCCAGCATGCTGGCACAGATGCGGGAGATGTACTCCGCGATGTCGGCTTTTTTCAGCAAAATGCCATCCCTATTACAAGAGTAAATGGACCCTCCGACTAGTGTGCAGTCCCTCAGAATTGCTTCCTGGAATGTCGACGGATTCCGGGGGCGAAAAATCGAACTCAAGGAGCTCTTGCCCCGTCTAGACGTGGACGTGATGGCGATACAAGAGACCAAAGTAGAGGACGCACACACTGTTAGGATTCCTGGCTACCTAGTGTATCGCAGGGACCGAAACAGACACGGAGGAGGCGTGGCCCTGCTCGTAAAAAGAGGTATAGATCACCATATGTTGCAGGTTCCGCAGCTAGAAAACATGGAAGCCGCCGCCGTATCGATTCGTACTCGCAGGTACGGAGACATCGCCGTGGTGACCTGTTATCAGCCCCCTCATCTCCCGCTCACCGATCACGATTTACGCGCGGTCCTGGAGACGTGGCCCCAAACCGTAGCCATCGGGGACTTTAACGCGAAATCGCCCGAATGGCACAGCACGACCACCACCACGCGTGGCAGGGTGCTTCTGCAATTCTTGCAGAACCACGAGGACGTTGCAGCGTATGGACCCGATGGACCGACGTACTACGGTGCAGTTGGAAGACCAGACGTGTTGGATATCGCTTTGCTCAGGGCAATACCGATGGACGCCGATCTGACGACGCACTACGAGGGGGCGACGAACCATGCCCCCATTCTCCTAACCTTAGGAGACGAGCGTCGCGGCGAGGACACCGTTGCCAAGCGGCGGACCGACTGGGGCCTATTCCGCGCAGAAATGCAACGAATATGCGCACCCATTCCGGTCATCCGCGACGCGGCGGACCTCGAGGCTGCCATCGCGAGCCTTGAGACGGATATCCACACCGCCTTGGAAGCCAGCACCACGGAGACGACGGAGAGGAGGATAGCGAACTATGCAGGTGAGTTACCTCTTATGTTGCAGGACCTAATCAGGGAAAGACGTGCGGCGAAAAGAAGAGCCACGAGGACAGCACACCCCCGGGATAAGCAGACGTTAAACCAGCTGAACCGGAGGGTAAAAGCGGCCCTAGAGGAGCACTACCAGGACTCGTGGCAACGACATCTGGAGTCACTAAACCCCGAAGACCGCAGCCTGTGGACGATGCAACGGGCGCTGAGGACCACCCGGAAGCCTATGCCTCCCATTCACGGAGAGAACGGGATCGTCTACACCAGGTATGAAAAGGCCGAGGCATTCGCCGACAGCCTTGAATTACAGTGTAGGGAAAACCTTCTCGACGACGAAGACGAGGACCACGCCGACGAGGTGGAACGACGCGTACGGCGCTACAGACGCCAACCCGACAGGGACGACATTAGGCCGGCGACACCCGAG